GGAGAGAGAGAAGGTGAGAGAGAGAGGTGAGAGAGAATGCCTGCAGAGAGATGGGAGAGAGAGAAGGTGAGAGAGAGAAGGTAAGACAGAACACCTAAACTACCTACCTCATACAGGGACCGCGGCACGCTCTGGTACATGTTGCGCGAGGCGAGCTGCAGCGCGCGACACAGCGTGCGCAGACTGTAGTGCGGCCGATGGCCCGTGCCGTCCGCTAGGTGGCGCTGTGCGTCGTCGCGCGCGCGCAGGTAGAAGGTGACGATGCCGTCGAGCTGAGCGGCGGTGAGCGACAGCCCGCGCAGGTAGCTGTCAGCCATGACCTTGAGGTCGGACGACTCCGTAAGCTCATCGACAAACAACTCGGTAAACCTGACGACGATGCGGAGAAAGATGAGCGGACCTGACAATTATTATTATTATTAAATTATTTATTACGTGTCAAATATACAAATACATGTACTAAAGACAATCTTTAATTATTATTATTCTTAATAAACTAATAATTATCATTATTAATATTAATAATTATAAATAATTAAATACTAAATAATAATTATTATTAAATTAATAATTATCATTATTATTAAATCTTTAAGGCACGTAATTCAAATACAAATACATGCTAAAGACACTCTTTCTCGTGGAGAAAAAATCGATGGTGGGTGCGATAGAACAATGACGCGGGGAAAGCCGGGCAGGGGGATGAACAGGCGGGGCGGCGATAGTACCTATTTCGTACACCAGGTGGCAGGTCCTTCTTGCCGACGTCTGTTGCTGGGTTCATGCAGGCGAACAGGCGGAAATCGGGATGTCGCACGACAGGCTCCGTGTCTCTGGGACGTGGGAAGATAACGACGGTCCATTAATTGATTAAAAATAATCATTCGGTCATTTTTAATGAGGTATACACATTGCCAGTAAACACCGCTGTTCTATCCGGGGCTCCTAAGGTTAAATCTATAGACAGATGAGAAATTATCCTAGGAAGTATAACATCCGCAAGTGTAATATAATATATATATCAGTATATGTATATATATGCATAAATCCAATGGTAAATATATATCTTTGCTTCAGCAATAGCTTTACCCTGACACATCAATATTACCCTAGCTCCAGCTCTAGCTCTACCCTGACACGTCAATCTTACCCTCGCTCCAGCAGCAGCACTGAGCCTGTGGTGCTCTCCAACAGACCACTAAGGCACTCCAAAGTTTCCGCTGTCGCCAAGTTCAACTCATCCAGGAGGATCCAGTCGCCGTTCCTGATGGCGGTCACCAGCGCCCCCTGTAGGAACATGAACACAACATTTACACGACGTGCGATTTCGAGAATCAATCAGCATTCTCACTAAAATGCAATAACGCTTCCAATCAACATCAATGACTCGTGAAATAATTATATAGCAATTACTCGCACTTTGTTTGTATACATTTTTATGCTGCAACTGGGGTTAGACATTCTTGCTGTAGACAGTATGTTTTTACTCTTGTAAAGACTAAGTTGCTGCAGTGGTGGATGGACTTAGCTTCTGGGACCGTGGATGGACTTAGCTTCTTAGACCGTGGTTAGACTTAGCTTCGGGGGACCGTGGTTGGACTTAGCTTCTGGGACCGTGGTTAGACTTAGCTTCTGGAACCGTGGTTGGACTTAGCTTCGGGGACCATGGTTGGACTTAGCTTCTGCGGACCATGGATGGACTTAGCTTCAGGGGACCGTGGTTAGACTTAGCATCGGGGGACCGTGGTTGGACTTAGCTTCGGGGGACCGTGGATAGACTTAGCTTCTGGGACTGTGGTTAGACTTAGCTTCGGGGGACCGTGGTTGGACTTAGCTTCGGGGGACCGTGGTTGGACTTAGCTTCTGGGACCGTGGTTGGACTTAGCTTCTGGGACCATGGATGGACTTAGCTTCGGGGGACCGTGGAAGGACTTAGCTTCTGGGACCGTGGTTAGACTTAGCTTCTGGGACCATGGATGGACTTAGCTTCAGGGGACTGTGGATGGACTTAGCATCGGGGGACTGTGGTTGGACTTAGCTTCTTAGACCGTGGTTAGACTTAGCTTCGGGGGACCGTGGTTGGACTTAGCTTCTGGGACCGTGGATGGACTTAGCTTCTGGGGACCGTGGTTAGACTTAGCCTCGGGGACTGTGGTTGGACTTAGCATCGGGGGACCGTGGTTGGACTTAGCCTCGGGGACCGTGGTTGGACTTAGCATCGGGGGACCGTGGTTAGACTTAGCATCGGGGGACCGTGGTTGGACTTAGCTTCGGGGGACTGTGGATGGACTTAGCATCGGGGGACCGTGGTTAGACTTAGCCTCGGGGACAGTATTTTTTTCGTTTCTGGTATTGATTCTTGGGACTAGGGTGGGACAAGGGTCCCCAATGTTCCCACCCCCACTTCAGCCCGCAGATCCGCCAGGGGCAGCCTCTGCAAAATTATATCTAGTTACTCATTATTATACATGACTAGTTTAGTGGGTGGTTTTACTGCAACTGCAAGGCGGTGCATGCATGTGTAACAAATAGATGTTGATTTATATTTTATATTACCTGGGTTGGTAAGTTTGATAGTGACGGTACGTGAGTTTGCCGGGTCGTTGGGGGCGGGGGACTTGGGGGCGGAAGCTGGTGAGAGAGCCGTGCTGCTGGGAAATACGTATGTGTGCAAATAAAAAAATGTGTTGAAAATAATGTAAAAAATTAATCGTGAAAATAATGTAATTGAATTGAATTGAAAATTGATTTGTTGAGAATAATAATGTAAAAAACGTGTTGATGTGAAATTGTACGTAAGTACTACAATCTCACGCACGCGCTCGCACGCACTCGCGCACACACGCACGCAAGCGCATGGCACACACAAACACACACACACACACACACACGCACGGACGCACCGACACTCAAGCTGGCGCGCGCACAGCTCACACTTGGCTGCCTTACCTGTGCCCAACAGTTCAGTGTGGATGACCGGAAAAAAATAACCTGTTTTCGGCCTTGAGCATACAAAATTTGTGCCGTGTGTGTGCTGCGTGTGTCTGTGTGCACGTGTGTATTATATATACACATACAGCAAGCGCCCCCTGCTGTGCAGCGAGTTAGGGGCAATTTTTACAAGAGAGAAATTACAGTGTCTGTGAGTTTTGCATGAGTTGACGAGACATTAATTATTTCTAATAACACCGTAATCGTTCTAATTAGCATGCGGATCTGTTTTACATATTAGCATGCGGATCTGTTTTACATATTAGCATGCGGATCTGTTTTACATATTAGCATGCGGATCTGTTTAACTTAGCCTCGGGGACCGTGGTTGGACTTAGCATCAGGGGACCGTGGTTGGACTTAGCTTCGGGGGACTGTGGATGGACTTAGCATCGGGGGACCGTGGTTAGACTTAGCCTCGGGGACCGTGGATGGACTTAGCCTTGGGAACTGTGGTTGGAGACTCACCTCGATGAAGGAGAATGCGAGAGCGGTTGCGGACTGTCGGACCTGCTTCTTCATCCTGCCTATGTGCTGCCCCACCGCCTCCCACCGGCCCAGCGTCGGCGCGTCAGTACGATCTGCGCTCCATCAAAAAAGATGAATGGAAAGATGAAAAAACATGAAGAAAAATTTTCATCCAACCTTAAAAAAAGATGGTCAATTAACTTAAAGGTAACGCAGTCATTTGGCAGTTCATACGTTTTACTAGCACGATGACAATCTCTACTATGCAGTGTACCATACACGTACGCTACGTATACGCTGCTACCGACCGTAGTAAGGATATATTGCGGACATACCTGTCTTTAGTCTTTTTAAGGCTGTCTGTTGGCTATGGACCATCAGCCTGAATAGATCTTCCCATCGTCTCTTAGAGAAGCATTCCTATCAACCATACACCTCAGTCATTAGCACTTGAACACGTAACACAAACAACCGGTAAGGTGCCGTTCAATATGGTGATTATGTTCCATATGATTGCAAGGCACTAACACATATTATACCACATATTATTTAGGTAATATAAAGAAATGGTGGAGAGGCATTCTAGAAGCATGTTAAAAGAACAACGCAGATGATTTAATTAGTTGTAAACATCCTGATGACAAATAAGAGAGTACTATAGACAATAGAAGACATCTAGTGAAAACTCACGTCCAGTGTGAAACCACGATCACAACATATAGTGACTATTTCGCATCCATATTTACCCACATATATCAATAACATAAATTCCCGCTTGTGCGTTAATTACCTGTATGTGGTTGAGAAACTTGATGTTCTGTTTGCGTGAGAAGGTCTTGCAAAAGACGTTTTCAAACTCCTCCTTCAGTGGTAGCACCAGGTGGCGTAAGTCTACCGGTTTGAACCTGCCATCGGTTACACAAAACAAATACACATCGCACATATATCGCTACGAGAACATTATTAGAGATTGATCTACGTTTAGCCTTTATCATACCACACTATTACCTCATTTTGAGTGTGTTAGATATTTAACCAAGTTATTGCAGTCGACAATACGTACAGTCAAACTTGTACGTGGGGGTCACTCAAAGGAAACCCCCAAATTGTTCTTTATAGACGAGTGTACATTTACACGAATAACGTATATATACATATATATATATATATATATATATATATGAGTGTATGTGCATGCGTGGGCGCGTGCGTGCGTCATGGCTACCTACCCTCCCAGCAGGTCAGCGCTGTCCGACTGCTGGTTCATGTTGACGACCTTGAGCGCGTGACCCGTCTGCCACGCGAGGTACTGCACCGTCGCCGTCTTCCCGCTGCCCGTCTCGCCGACCAATAGCACGGGCTCCTGGTTGCCGACGGCGACCGCGATGCTCTCCAGCAGCGTCGATGCCAGACGCGTGAACGCAAAGTTCGGGATGGCCAGTCTGAGAGGGAAGGCGATCGGTTTTTCTTCTTTTCTTATTTCTAGCTCGTCTTTTTGTTCCCAAATGATCGTTTTTTAATAACTTAACGGCTTCCATCACAGACATATGGTTTATGTATAAAATAATATAGAAATTAAAAAACTTCAGAGGAATTATAGAGCCTTTGCCTTCTTCTTTTCCTTCCTCGTGAGCCTTACCTTGCTAGCTTCACAGTAATAAACTTCAGAGGAATTAGAAAAAGTTTTTGCATTTTTTTCCCTTCCTCGTGAGCCTTACTTTGCTAGTATCACAGTAATAAACTTCAGAGGAATTTTAAATTTACGCTTCTTTTTTTCCTTCCTCGTAAGCCTTACCTAGCTAGCGTCACAGTAATAAACTTCAGAGGAATTAGAGAGTTTTTGCATTTTTTCCCCTTCCTCGTGAGCCTTACTTTGCTAGTATCACAGTAATAAACTTCAGAGGAATTTTAAATTTAAGCTTCTTTTTTTCCTTCCTCGTAAGCCTTACCTAGCTAACGTCACAGTAATAAACTTCAGAGGAATTAGAGAGAGTTTTTGCCTTCTTTTTTTCCTTCCACGTGAGGCTTACCTTGCTAGTGTCACAGATTTCTCCGGCTTGCGCAGGAGTGCCACCCGTCCCACGTCAAAGGATGAAGACGTCACCTCCACGTTCGGCTTGTATTTCGTGCAGAAGAACTCGGCCTGCATGAAAAGCAATAATGACATATAGAATATATATATATATATATATATATATATATATATATATATGAAATATAATGATAAGAAATATGTTTAACTTATGATTAACGATTAATTAATGATGAATTAATTGACGCTTAATGATAAGCGTCCTTTACAGAGAGGTGGCCGCTAACGGAGATTCGATGAGCGCATGTACCTTGGATCGTAGGATGTTCAGTTTGCCCGCGATGGCCTCTGCCAGCTCCACTCTCCTCGCGACCTTGGGAATGGACATGCCGAAGCAGTCGAGAGCCTCCTGGAAGACCATGATGCCAGCGCCCTCTGACGACCTGTTGAAGTCCTTCGCCACTCGCGCGCACCACTTAAACAGATCCCTGTCAACAAACAATGCAAGCAACGTATCGTAAATTAATGCATAAACGAATATACTGTCATCATGTGTGTGTGCGCGCGCGTGTGCATGTGTGCGTGCGTGCGTGCGTGCGTGTGCGACCATCACTAACCTCGCGGACGTGAGCCTCCCCTCGCGTGCGATGTGCTTTCCCAGCTCACTGTCGTCCCCGCGGCCCGCGTCGTCCGCGCCAGCGTCGTGCTCGTGTCCGCCGGCCGACAGCATGAAGTAGATGTCCAGCAGGCGGTCAGCAACACTGGCTAGCGACGGAAACTTGGCGGTCACGACCTGCAGGGCGAGAGATCGTAAAGTCGGCGAGGAGTTTCAGACAGGGTTTGTGTTAGGGTTAGAGTTAGGGTAAAGGTTAGGGTTAGGGTTAGAGTTAGAGTTAGGGTAAGAGTTAGGGTTAGGGTTAGAGTTAGGGAAAGGGTTAGAGTTAGGCAAAATAATCTGGAGTTTCAGACAGGGTTAGTGTTAGGGTTAGAACTAAAGATAGGGTTAGAGTTAGGGAAGGGTTAGAGTTAGGGTAAGAGTTAGGGTTAGGGTTAGAGTTAGGGTAAGAGTTAGGGTTAGGGTTAGAGTTAGGGAAAGGGTTAGAGTTAGGCAAAATAATCTGGAGTTTCAGACAGGGTTAGTGTTAGGGTTAGGACTAAAGATAGGGTTAGAGTTAGGGTAAGGGTTAGAGTTAGGCAAAATAATCTGGAGTTTCAGACAGGGTTAGTGTTAGGGTTAGGACTAAAGATAGGGTTAGAGTTAGGGTAAGGGTTAGAGTTAGGCAAAATAATCTGGAGTTTCAGACAGGGTTAGTGTTAGGGTTAGGACTAAAGATAGGGTTAGAGTTAGGGTAAGGGTTAGAGTTAGGCAAAATAATCTGGAGTTTCAGACAGGGTTAGTGTTAGGGTTAGGACTAAAGATAGGGTTAGAGTTAGGGTAAGGGTTAGAGTTAGGCAAAATAATCTGGAGTTT